GGACGGAGAAGTGGTGCCTCGGTGCACGCCTGGGATCCGAACCCGGGCCACCACCATCGGAGCGCGCGCACTTAACCACCAAGCCATGGGGCCAGCCATACCTTTACCTTTTATACTATATTTATTTTGGAGGGATAAATTTCTGGAGTTAAAACATTTCATATTCTTACCATACAAACAAAAACCATCCTTTCTTTAATAAACCATGTAGTAATTTGAAAAGGATGTGTATATAAATAGACATGTCAGTGTATACACACACACATACCCTCACAGCTCCAAGGAAAACTTAATTACTCAGTAAACTATAAATTAAGACTAAAACATTCAGCCTACAAATTTTTAAATCTTTGGAATTAACTTACCAAAAAAAGTGTAAGAGAATGAAAACTTTAATAAAAATGAAAATATGCATCAAAATATTTAAGATTCAGCCAAAACTGTAAACAAAGGTAGGCAAAGTCTTAAATCCTTTGTTAAAGAAAAAATAAAGCTTTTAAAATAAAAGGTCATAAAAAAGAACAATCTTAAAGAAAGTAGGAGGTATATCATGAATCTAGACAAAAATAGAGAACAAAAACAAAACTAGTTGGGCTAATAAATCAAGGGTTGCTTCTTGGAAAAAGTAAATCAGAAACATTGATACAATTGCTGCAAATCTAATGAGGGGAAGAGGAAACATTTCAACATTAGAAATGAGAAAGGAAATGAGATTCTGAGCAAAGAGGATAATACTCAACCCCAAGTGGAACTATTTCTGCTTCAGGAAAGTTTCTAATAAAAAATTTGTGAATGGGGCCGGCCCTGTTGCATACCGGTTAAGTGCACGTGCTCCGCTGCTGGCAGTCTGGCTTCGGATCCCGGGCGCGCACCGACGCACCGCTTGTCAGGCCATGCTGTGGCGGCATCCCACGTAAAGTGGAAGAAGATCAGCACGGATGTTAGCTCAGGGCCAGTCTTCCTCAGCAAAAAGAGGAGGATTGGCATGGATGTTAGCTCAGGGCTGATCTTCCTCACACATACACAAACACATTAAATTAATTAATTAAAAAAAAATTTTGTGAATACAGCCAAGCAAAATAAGGAAAGAGTAAATGATTGTCTCAATAGATGTTGTAAACTATCCAATAAAACTAAACAATAATTCTCTTTAAAGATTCTAAAGACAGAAATAGAAATTCAGGCTCAGCCCCATGGCTCAGCAGTTAAGTGCTCGCGCTCCGCTACTGGTAGCCTGGGTTCACATCCCGGGTATGCACCAACGCACCGCTTATCCGGCCACGCTGCGGCGGTGCCCCACATATAGCAACTAACAGAATGCGCGACTACCGCCATACAGCTATCTACTGGGGCTTTGGGGAGAAAAAGGGGAAAAAAAAAAAAAACGAGGAGGATTGGCAATAGATGTTAGCCCAGGGCCAGTCTTCCTCAGCAAAAAGAGGAGGATTAGCATGGATGTTAGCCCAGGGCTGATCTTCCTCAAAAAAAAAAAAAAAATAGAAATTCATTAAACAATATACTCATTATCTTCAATGATAAAGCAGTTCTCATTAAAACCAAAAATAAGAAAGCCTATTTACATATCATTGTTTATAAGTTCTGGCCGAGATGATAAAATTAAAAATAAATACAACTGGCAGGAAGGCAAACAGCACAATAGTACTAAATAAAAATCAGCTAAAACTAAAAACATGCCATGTTATTGGTGAAAAGACAATACAGCAAAAAAGTTTTTTCAAAAAACATTTTATTACTATAATTGCTATTTTACTTACAATTTCTGGGAACATTAATAAAATAATAAATTTTATCTGAAAGAACAAGCAAGCAAAATAGACAAGGGAATTCACAATGGGCAATAACAAAATAGTAATCTTGGCACATATTTAATATATTTGTAAACAAAACAAAGTGACATCGCTTTAAAAAAATATAGAGGTATCAATAGAAAAACAGAGAAAGCTCTTGAAAGAACTCAACTCACTACATTAATTTTCTTTTGGTTGCAGGCACAGAAATTGACTCAAGCTAGCTCAATTCTAAGACAGAGGCAAAGCCCTTGATGATTACCTCTTCCCAGCTTTTTGTGAAAAGCTACAAAAAAACTAGATTGGAGAGGGAAGAAAGGAATGGGGAGACTTAAAGTGCCTTGAAGGAGAAAGAGAAAAAAACGGTGAGGAAGTGGAGATTTCATTGTCAGTGTCATATTAAGAATACTGGTGAAGTTCAATACACCAAAGGAAGTGTCAAACAATTAAGCGAGGTAGCAAGCCATGCAGGCCTAGGGGAAGAGCATCCTAAGAAAGAGAACAGCAGTTGCAAAATCTTTCGATCGGGAAGAAATGTGATTTGTTTGAGGAAAAGCAAGGCCAGTGTGTCAAAAATAGTGCAACAGTAGGGAAAATGGTAGAGCAGAATGGCAGAGAATGGAAAAAAGGAGGTAGACAGGGGCCATATCACTGGAACCTGGTAGTTGGCAATAAATAACAATTTGCACTCCTTAGGAGCATACTTTAGTGAAACAGCAAACAATAGTAATGGTGTTGATAATAATAAGCAACCACAAAAACAAAGAACTAAAACATTTCATATGTTTACTACAGAAACACAATAAGGGAAATAAACATGCAGAAGTCTGCAGATCTATTTATACAAAAGTTTCCACCTGAGACCAGAACAAGTGGAACACACACACACTCTCATTCTCTCTCTCCACACCTAAAGAAAGGGGTTCAGGCTACATTTTAGCAAAGTGCCTTGGCCCAAGCAATCTAACTGAAAAGGTCTAGTAAAATATTCCAAGTACAAATCAATCAATCAAACATTGAGCAAATAAATACAACAGAATCTACACTCAGGAAATCATCTAAAACACAGACAATATACTCACAACTACTTTGTTATCTGTAGTCCTTCCTCCCCAATTCTCAAAGGGATGCTCAGTCCTTGATGACTCTCACTTCCCAACTTTTTGTGAAAGCTTAGGGAATTTAACTTAGATTGAGGAGGGAAGAAAGGAGTGAGGAGAGGTAAGGTGCCTTTAAGGAGGAGGAGAAACCAAGAGAAAAAAGGAGAGATTTCTCCTGGCTTAGGTCTACAGCCAGGATCCCAGATCTCCTTCAGTAGTGCACAGAGGCTGCTAGGTACCTGGGTCAAAGGTGGAGGAAGGATGGCACTAGAACCTGCCAAGGGAGACTTAACCTTGGGAACCCACAGAAGCAGCTAAGGCCGCTGATGTTCAGGAACCAATACTCTGAGGGTACTCCACAATTCTGTGAAAGAGCGCTTGGAGACAGCAAGGGAAAAAGGCTTCTCCATAGTGCTGTCACAGATTCAATAGTTCAATCGATTAGATGAAGGTTAGAAACTCTAAGACCTAATACTTACTGAAATAAATGGTATATTTCTTACACATTAGAGTGTGTCAATTAAGACCCAAACTCAATATTAGTTTGATAAAATGAAAAATTATACACTCAACAAGAGAATAACTGTTACAAACTGTAATATATTCGCTGCAAGGCAAGATACAAAATTGCAAACTTCACATGTTCAACTTGGGTAAAATGCATGTACTTGGAAAACATAAGGAAAAGCTCTATAACGGGTTTAATTTTAGTCAGTCCCCCTGGGCTACTTTCATCCACTGTACCTACTGTTCCTGGACAATGCCCACTCCAGCTTAACAGTAAGAGAACTAAATTTAGTTAGTTCTGGACAGATATGATTTGTTTGCCCTTTTTCAGTTAAAACTATGGGTGCAGTACAAGTCAAACTATAGATGTCAGGGCTTCTTTCCCTTGGGAAACTTTACTTGCTTTATTGCTGCAGCTAAGAGGAATATGGCTAGTTGCTTCTGACTAAAGGCCTGCCTAAAGGGAGAAGGGAGGGAACAAATCGAATTCCTCTTTGAATCACTCAACAGGAGGTGGACTGGCACCAGGCCCATTCCATTAATTACCTCTGCTTCGCCGTCTGAAGCCAATGATACACAATGGTTGCTTGATGTCTGAAGAGGCCCCTCACCAAACACAGGCATTTTATTTAGATGGTTTTGCTTCTTTGGATGTTCTTAGGCTAGGTAAAGACACTCAAGACAGCATTCCTTCTGCCTAGGCTCCAAAACTGGACTGAACGTATACCTCTCCCTCAAATGGGACAAGCAGTCACTGCTCTGCATTGACTAATCTCCCAGTTTCTGGTTTCCACTCATGCCACAGCTTTCAGAGACAGGTTATTTTAGACCAACACAACAGAGGCACTTCTGGGAGTTCAGCAACAAACGGGACCATGCCACAGCAATGCCATTCCAGTCTGACTACAGTTAATATTGAAATCTTCAAGGCATGGAAAAAGTTGAAAATAAAAATAAGTACTTAAAAACTCTAAAGATTCTATACATAGAAGAGCTTTCAAATTTACCAGTAACATGAAATACCAAAATAATAAATAGGTTCCCACTTTTTTTCCTGTCTCTCTCTCTTTCTCTCTCACTCACACACACACACACACACACAAACACCTTTTATGTGTTAAGCCAGATAGTTACATAAAAATCAGGTAATATATTTTTAAATAACAGCTCAAAATTCATAAATCAGGTAATATATTTTTAAATAGCTCAAAATTCACATCATTCATATTGAAATAATTCATACTGAAAATAATATTGTATTTCATGAATTTAAAAATACTCAAATTATCCATTGGTCTATTTTTGATACTATTTAATAATGTATGATTTGTATTTTTTTTTTTGTTTTTATGAGTTTTTTACTTTGATTGAAATACTTGCTTTGGATTTACTGAAACTAAATTAACGGGGGTTTTTTGAAATTCTAACCTTAGATCTAGGGGGTGATGGTTCAGTTTCAGATGTGCTCACAGTAACGGATGCTACTTCCACTGATCCTGGTTGAAGAGGTTCCAGTGACACCTGAATAACAACCTTTGTCTCAGGAGGCAATCCTTCTAGTTGCTCAGGTTTCTTAAACATTTGATGACACTGGGTCTTGTGCTCCATTTTTTCCTTGAAAGTTAAAAACTGTAGCCTGCACTTGGAACACTGGTGAACGCTCTTTTCCCAGTGTCCTCTATAGTGACACATGTATGGTGTTGCAGTTTTGAAAATTTTGAGACAAAACGGACAAAGCAAATTCTTAGTGTTTTCATGGCATGTTCTGAAGTGTGTTTCCACATCAGCAAAGGCCGACGATCTGTAATTGCAAACCTGGCACACATAGGGCATTTCTCCAGGTTTATGATTGTCCTTCATGTGCTGTAAGAGAACCTGATCTGTTTCAAACGACAATTCACAAATTTTACAGACAGCAGAGGGCTCCTGGGTAGTGTGTACACTTTCAATGTGACATTGCAGCTGGAAGGGAGTGGGAAACTGCCGATGGCAGTGCTGGCAGGTGGTGTGGTTTTCCCAGCTGTCACCCCTCTGCTTCTCAAGTTCCAAATGGTGCTTCATGTGGTTCATAAACTTGACATTTTTTAGAACTTTCAAGCAGCTGAGGCATTTAAAGGTTGTGTGCGTCTTCTGTTCTGGCTGCCCGTCTCCTTCATGCTGTCCGTAGTAAAAGTCATGAAGTAACACGATCAGATTTCCTTTCTTGGGATCAACAGTCTTGTTTTCACTTGCTAGACTCACAAAATCTTTTTCTTCCAGTCTATCTTCCCTAACAGGATTTATAGGCTTGAAATGGACACTGTCCTTTGGAAAAGCTGTTGGAAAAGGTGCTCCATTCTGAACATAGCTTAATGAGGTATGAACACCGTTTGAGGGTGTGCTTTGCTGAGTAGTCATTGTATGAAAGATACCTGAAGGGGACAAAGCTGAAGAATGTCCCCGGATGATTCCATCACTGAGTTTAGGCCTTTTGGAATTTACGCTGTTTACTTCAGAGGTGGAATGTCGCTTTGACACACAAAGATTTTTCTTCATACCTCCTACAGAAAGTGCTGTTCCTACTGGATGCTGCAATGAACTTGTGAATGTGTTCAAAGCAGAACATAACTCTGAAGAGCTATGAGGCACAACTTGTGGTGAATTATTTTTATAATTAGGTTTAGACAAAGGCTCAATAATTATAGGACTATCTGTTGATCTTGATTCAGATTCTGAAAGTGGCAAGACAGTTACTTCTGATGTAGGGGTTACCTGACTTATAGGCTGCAACTTCTGAGCAGTATCTTTTCTAAGGTGACCATACTTTTTTCTCCTTGAACATGAACCTGGGGTGACTCTGTTCAAAATGTTTGAAACGACTGGTTTTGATTTTGAAGTCACTCCAACAAAGATCAGCTCAGCATCTTCATTTACATGTTCCACCCCAACAAAGATCAGCTCAGCATCTTCATCATCTACTTGTTTGGTTTCTTCTACACTCTTCCGTGGTTCTGGCTCTTGTTCTTCCTCACATAACATACATGGTTGTTCCATTTTCTATTTTTTTTTTTTTATTCTTGAAGGGTGTGGCCACAAGTCCCAGTGCTTCCTTTATATAAACTGCCACCTAAGTACAAACACACTACACATCAGTAAGTACAGAAAAATATATTCTGTTATTCAGAAAAATGCGTTACCCTACTTAATTCTCTCCAAAACGCTAAGGTAGTTATAAACATCTGTATTTTACAGATAAAGACACTGAGACTCAAAAAGGATAAATGACAGCTTAAAATCTGTGATTACAAGTCTATGGGACTCTAGACTCATAGCGTTGCCCAATGCTTATGATGATCTCTTCCATCAAAAAAGAAAAGAAAAAACTCCAACTACTAATCACCAGGCAAAATCATATGTAAAGGACAAGTATTTTCACAAAGGCACCATTGTGCAGTGTTTAGAAACGGGTTTTGGGGTTAGGGAAGATTAAGCTGGAATTTTAAGTCGGCCACACACCAGCTTCATCTTCTTGGCAAGTTTATAAGTTTTAAATGTGTTTCTGTATCTTCAAGGTAAAAATTCTTATTTCTTAGACTTAGGGTAACAGCTCTTTTTAAAAAGCACCAACTATTTGGGGCCGGCCCGGTGGCACAGGCAGTTAAGTGCACGCACTCCACTGCGGTGGCCTGGGGTTTGCCGGTTCAGATCCTGGGCGTGCACCGACGCACTGCTTGGCAAACCATGCTGTGGTGGCGTCCCACATAAAGTAGAGGAAGATGGGCACAGATGTTAGCCCAGGGCCAGTCTTCCTCAGCAAAAAAGAGGAGGATTGGCAGATGTTAGCACAGGGTTGATCGCCTCACCAAAAAAAAAAAAAAAAAAGCACCAACTATTCAACAGCAGCTTGTTCTGTAGTAGAACTGGAGGAAAATTTATATTAAATGCACATATCTTAATTGATTCATAATACTAATTTCATAAATATTAATATATTATTGAAAAGAAGTATCAAATCCGAAGAATAGAGTAAGAGTACCTACACATAGTGAACAAATAGCATAATTCAGCGTCAAGTGCTTCGCACATGCCTAGCAAATTGGGAATGAACTCTTGATAATATCATCCTAACTTAAGGCCTTAATTATAATCCATTCACTGATGTCTCCTGAAGTTCTCCTTCCAATCCTGACTTCCCCACTGAATTTAAATCCAACAGTGCTTCCACCCTCAACTGACCTCAGTCTCTTCCCCACATGGAGCGCAAAGTGATTCTGTTAAAACAAATCAGATTATGTCACTGCTCAGCTCAAAACCCTCCAATAGCTTTCTGGTTCACTCGGTAAAAGATCAAGTCCTTCCAAAGCCTACCTGTAAGGCCAAGCTTCCAACCCTACACACCACCCTGCAGTGATCTCATACTCTTCTCCCTCATCTACTTCACTCTAACCATACTAACCTCCTTTCTATTTCTTGAACACACTAAACACTTTACCTTGCTTGGGGCCCTTGTATTTGCTGTCCCTCTAATATGAATGCTCATCAACAAGATACCTGCATGGCTGGCCCCTCACCACCTCTGGGGCTCTGTTCCAAGTCATCTTCTCAGAGAGGTTCTCAAATAGTCCAACCAACTTCTAATTCATATTCCCGATCTCTCTTCCCTTCTCTTTCACCTTCAAGCCCTTATTACCATCTAACATTATAAACTTTATTTACTTATCTTGATTCTTTTCTATTGTCTATCCAGTAAAATGTCAACTCCAAAGGACAAGAATGATCTTTTGCTGACTCCTGTATCTCAGCACAAAGAACAGCACCTGGCACAGCAATAGGAACCCAACAAATACAGAATTTGTTAAATAACCTAATAAATAGTAGCTCTCATTAATAAGAACCTTTATTTGTAGAGCAGATTGCGTTCCATTAATGTCACATTTTCTATGAATTACTCTGAGAACCTTGTCCATATCAGAAATTCTGTAGGCCAAAATAAAGGATTTAAAGCTGCTAACCTTTTACAAACATTTTTGAATATAACCCACGGTAAAAAAAAAAAAAAAGAAATTATATGGAGTCTCACCACACAAACATAAAAAATAACTTCCTTTACTACATGGGATGCATATTCCAATATTTTCTAGTTCATTTTTCTTAAATTGACCATGACCCACAAAATCAATTATGACATATCAATGGGTCACTACCAGTGGTTTGAAAACACTGGTTTTTAGGCTAGCAAAATGTAAGCAGTTTAAACTACAGTTCATAACTCACCAATTTCTGAAAAGATAGTGTCAGAATTCACTGTAGCCCAATTGGACCCTTCAAATCAGCATAAGCCAACCTATAAAAACTAAACTGGCATCAAATACGTGCCATGCACTTCTCATCAATTTAATGAGCATATCAATATATAATTTTGGAACATACAGATATTTAATTCTGAAAATGTGTGTACTGACTTGGAAGTAATTTAAAAAAGAAATATAATATTAAGCATAATAAAAACTACTTATTCTTTTCCTCTTTTATTCTACAACTATATTTTGTTTGCCCAACAGTGGTCCAACACTACTAAGCACTGAGTAGAAAATAGTGAATGCATGAAGCTTACAGTCTCATGTGTCATGAACAGATTTACCACTTCTTAAAACTAAGATCAAGTACATAATTATGAGATATGTAATGCAAGAAAATATATGAGGCAAATTTGAAAACACTGCTCTTCGGAGTCAACGAAAATTGGTTTGGTCTGTTTATACATAACTTCAATCATCTAACTCCAGGACGATGCCACTTAGTCCAGTGTTTCTCACCCTAAGCACTAATGACATGTTTGGATCAGATAATTCTTTGTTGTAGGAGGTTATCAGGTACATTTAAGATGTTTAGCAGCATTGCTGGAATCTACCCACTAGATGCCAGTAGCAATCCCCTAGATGTGGCAATCAAAAATGTTCTATGAGGGGCCAGCCTGGTGGTGTAGTGGTTAAGTTCCTGCACTCTGCTTCGGTGGCCCGGGGTTCACAGGTTTGGATCCCGGGCACAGACCTTCGCACCACTCATCACGCCACGCTGTGGTGGCGACTCATACACAAAACAGAGGAAGATGGGCACAGATGTTAGCTCATGGCCAATCTCCCTCACTGAAAAAAAAGTTCTATGAAAGAACTTCTGCCATAATCCAACCTTCTCAGAATCACTTCCGCATTTATAGTAACCACTTTCTAGATAATTCTACATATATGTGCTCATATTCTCTCTAAAGAAATAATTCTAAATCAAAATTATTAATGTTCTCCCTAAAATCATAAAAATCAGAATAAAATTAAATTAAAAAATTAAAAATAAAATAAAAATCATAATTTGACAATTCATATGACCATCAGAATTACCTGAGGATGGATCTTTAAAGCCTAGAAAAGTGTATGATTTACCTAAAGTTATACGTAGTGTCTGGAGACAGGGTTAGCACTGAAATGCATGATTCCTGAATTCTAGTTCTATGTTCTTCCCACTAGAACTCTGATTTAATGCATGTCTATTTCTTTTCTTTTTTTGGGGGGGGGGAGGAAGATCAGCCCTGAGCTAACATCCATGCTAATCCTCCTCTTTTTGCTGAGGAAGACCGGCTCTGAGCTAACATTTATTGCCAATCCTCCTCCTTTTCTTTCCCCAAAGCCCCAGTAGACAGTTGTATGTCATAGTTGGACATCCTTCTAGTTGCTGTATGTGGGACGCAGCCTCAGAGTGGCCAGAGAAGTGGTGCGTCGGTGCGTGCTCGGGATCCGAACCCAGGCAGCCAGTAGCGGAGCAAGCGCACTTAACCACTAAGCCACAGGGGCAGCCCAATGCATGCCTATTTCTAATGACGGTGCCATGAACTGTTTAGTCTCTAAGGATCAAAGAGCCTCACTAGATTCGCTTTTACTCTATTTCATAAAAGTTGTTCTAACCTCAACAAACCTCTCATCAAATTAGTCACAGAAACTTTTAAGTGATTCTAAATAACTTTTCAGAGCATTAGTCATTCTAACTACCTTTCATTTCCATTCCTGTGACAGCACCTCCCCCAAACTTCTAGTGTAGGTTAACTGGTTACTTCACGTTTGTACATATGTACTACACTCCAAATTGTTGTCTTGTCTCTCTGTCCTTCAAAATATACTGCATATCACCACTAGATGAATCTTAAAACACCACTATAATTATATGACTCCTCTTTTCCCACATGTTAAATGATCCCTCCAATTCTAGAGAATACATTTTAGGTACGCTATGGACTGAACTGTGTCTTCCCAAAATTCATATATTGAAGCTCTATCCCCCAATGTGATGGTATTTGGAAATGGGACCTTTGGGAAGTAATCAAGTTTAGATAAGGTCCTGAGTGTGGAGCTCTCATGATGGGATTAGTGCCAAGAAGAGACATTAGAGATACTGGTTCCTCTCTATACCACCCCCAGCACCACCCAACACATGTGAGGACACAGTGAGAAGGCGGTTATCTGCAAGCCAGGAAGAGAGCCCTCACTGGGGAACCAAATCAGCTGGCACCTTCATCTCCGACTTTCCAGCCTTCAAAACCATGAGAAAGGGGCTGGCCCCGTGGCGTAGCAGTTAAGTGTGTGCGCTCTGCTGCTGGCAGCCTGGGTTCGGATCCTGGGCGCACACCGAAGCACCACTTGTCAGGCCATGCTGTGGCGGCATCCTACATAAAGTGGAGGAAGATGGGCATGGATGTTAGCTCAGGGCAGATCTTCCTCACAAAAAAAAACAAAAACGAAAACAAAACCATGAGACTCCTGTTTTTTTTTTTTTTTTTGTGAGGAAGATCGGCCCTGAGCTAACATCTGCCAATCCTCCCCTTTTTTTGCTGAAGAAGCCTGGCCCTGGGCTAACGTCCATGTCCGTCTTCCCCCACTTTATACGGGACGCCACCACAGCATGGCTTGACAAGCGGGGTGCATCGGTGCACTCCTGGGATCCGAACAGGCGAACCCTGGGCTGCCAAAGCAGAGCGCATGCACCCAACCGCTTGCACCACCGGGCCGGCCCCCAATTCCCGTTGTTTTACAAAAATAAAAATAAACTGGGTTCCAGTAAGATTGCTGGACTTGCACCCAACTGATCTTGTTAAGATTTTTAGCTGTTGATCATACTGATTAACTTTCCATCCAACCCATCATTCAAGATGAAAAGTAAGAGCAGAAAAAGAATCAGATATAAAAGCAAGTATGTTAATGAATGAGTTCACTTGGAACAAGAGTAACATTAGACTGTGGGAACTTTCTTATCATTTCTCCTCTAGCGTCCTTATTTTCTACAATTTACCAGACAGAGAAGAACAAATACCATATGATCTCACCTATATGTGGAATCTAAAAAAAAGCAAAACAAAAAAATGCAACTCATAGATACAGAGAACAAACTGGTGGTTGCCAAAGGCAGGGCATGGGAAATGGGCAAAATGGGTGAAGGGAGTCACAAGGTGTTAACTTCCAGTTATAAAATAAATAAGTCATGGGGACATAATGTACAACATGGTGACTATAGTTAATAATAACGTATTGCATATTTGAAAGTTGCTAAAAGAGTAGATCTTAAAAGTTTTCATTATAAGAAAAAAAGATTTTTTTTTTTTTTTTGGTGAGGAAGATTAGCCCTGAGCTAACATCTGTGCTCATCTTCCTCTATTTTATATGTGGGACACCGACCAGAGCATAGCTTGATAAGCAGTTCGTAGGTCCACACCCAGGATCCAAACCAGCGAACCCTGTGCCACCAAAGCAGAGCACGCAAACTTAACTACTACACCACTGGGCCGGCTCCAGAAAAAAGATTTTTGTAACTATGTATGGTGACGGATGTTAAGTATACTTACCATGGGGATCATTTCACAATATATACAAACATCAAATCATTATGTTGTCCACCTGAAACTAATGTGTTATATGTCAATTATACCTCTTAATTTAACTTAACTAAAAAAAAAGAAATGAAGTACTGATACATGCTACAAACTGGATAAACCCTGAAAACATGCAAAGTGAAAGAAGCAAGACAGAAAAAGTTATATATTGTATGACTTCATCATTTCATAGGAAATATGCAGAGTAAATAAATTCATAGAATCTAAAGACAGATTGGTGGTTGCCAGAGGAAATGAAGAGAAACTGCTTAATGGGTAAAGGGTTTTACTTTGGAAGGATGGAGATGTTTTGGAACTAGAAAGAGGCAGCAGATGTACATCATCACGAATGCTCTAAATACCAGCAAATTGTTCACTTTAAAATGATTGATTTTATGTTATATGAATTTCACATAAATATATTATTTTTAAAAATAAAGAAGGGATATTACTGCCAACCACACAGAAATTAAAAAAAAAAAAAAATTTAACGGAATACTATGAACAATTCTAGTCCAACAAATTAGATAACCTAGACGAAATGCACAAGTTCCTAGAAAGACACAAACTACCAAACTGACTCAAGACAAAAAAAAAAAACAGGGGTGGGCCTGGTGGTGCAGCCGTTAAGTGAGTGCGCTCCACTGCAGCAGCCCAGGGTTCGGATCCTGGGTGCACACCGATGCACTGCTTGTCAAGCCATGCTGTGGCGGCATCCCATATAGAGTGGAGGAAGATGGGCACGGATGTTAGCCCAGGGCCAGTCTTC